CTTTGAGGAGGCTGCCCTCTGACGTCCAGAAACTGGGGCCGCCGCGCCGTGCCGCCGGCGGGCGTCGAACCCGTGACGCGTCCTGCCGGTGGCGGGTGGTTCGGCCGCTGCAGCCATGAGACTTCAGCTGCAGCCCAGTGCTTCCGAAGTGCAGTTGCGTCGCTCAGTCTCTCTCGCACCCATGCATTGCCCCATGAGTGCGACAGAGACAGAGCGACGAAAAGGCTGCTTGGAATCAGTCTGCTGGAGAACGTGCTGGAAAGGTGTGAGCGCAGATCTGGCGTTCTGCTGGCTTGGCAAACACGAGTGTGTTTTCCTGCGCGCCGAACACCGAGCGTCGCAAGCGTTGTAATCCCCGAGGACGACGGCGTGCAGTGGCACGCGGCGGCCACGCTGACAAAAATGAACGACTTTTTATGGCCGGGGTTATCTCGCTGCCGCCGTAGCCACTCCATCAGGCACTGCCGCTACACGAAATGCCGTTTTAAACTTTTAACTACTCCCAACTTGTGTATTGCGGCAATAACATTATAGAGGGGAAACTTGTCGGCGCCCCAGCCAGCCAGTCCGCGGTGAGTGCTAGCCGGTAGAGCAGCACTCCAACACGGTCAACACGCCGGAGGGGCAGAGGGACAGAAAGCAGGCCGGAGCCGACGGAGCAGCAGTCGAGTAATAACCACCGCCGCCTGCTTCACGCTTCGCCCGCTCTTCTCTTCCCGGCACCACGGCGCTGCACGGCGCCACCCGAGGCTCCATCTCCGAGGGGGTCACGGCCGGGCCGCGGGCCGCAGCGGGCCGGGCCGCCTCTCACTGGGGCAGAGCACCGAGCAGGCGATACCGGGCGGCACGGGCGGCAGCGAGGGGGAAATCACTCGCGTAATAGTCGGGTCACCGATTCCAAGTATTACGCGTAATAGTAATAGCGTAATAGCCAATTTTTTTAAAATTTTCTCTATTTAGGGTCCGATTTTAGCCTAAATATGGATATTTTGGAGCGTAATAAGCCTTTTGTAATAGCGTAATAGAACGTAATAGGGAGTAGTCGGGTCACAGCTTTTAAGAGTGATTTCCCCCTCGGGCGGCAGCGGGTGCCTCTCGGCAACACGTCTGCGCGTTCCCTTTGCCGCGTGACGTGAGCGATTAATCGATCAATCGAAAATGATCTCGGATATTTTGTTGATCGGACGGGAATCTAAGCTGGGCACGCCGGCACGGCCAATATGTGAAGTATGGCCACATGTGTGTGACAAATCCAGCTCTCTATGACAGCATGCAGGTCGATGCTCTTACCTATACTAGTGGTTTTAAGTATTGTCTGCGTCCGGCAGATTCCTTTTCATACTGTATTCCTTACGATTACGGAAATGGGGATTGAATAAAACAAACGACGGTACCAATGGATAGCCAGTCCATTGAACTAGGAATCCAGTGGCCGTCATGTGGCCAGCTAGGTCGCGGCCCCTCTCGGGCCCCTCCCGTCGCCTCCGCTCTCCTGCGTGCTCCGCCACTCCGCCACGCTCCCCGGCCGCGGAGTGCGAGTTTGCCGATCCCGGCTAGACAGCCTGCAAGTCACGGCCGTAAACAATACGCGCATTACGACCACGCCGCGCCACGCCACGCCACGCCACGCCACGCCACGGCACGGCACGCCACGCCACGCCACGCCACGCCACGCCACGCCACGCCACACCACGGCAGGCCACGCCACGCCACGCCACGCCACGCCGCCAGCCCAGATCCACATTCAAATACATTGTGGGGCGTGACCGCTGCGCAGACCAGCAGGTGGTTGGGCCGGAGCGGCAGGCTGGATTCAAATCAGTGCTGTCTCTCTCGCGCTCATGACGCGTCCCGTTGGGCGATGCGAGAGAGACGGAGAGCCGTGTCCTTGCACGGCTTTGGCTCGCCCGGCTTTGGCTCGCCCGGCTTTGGCTCGCCACGCGCCCCGCCGGCCGACCCGCTCGGCATCCTGCCACCGCCGAAGCACTGCGAAGCACCCGAAGGCTGCCTGCACGTCACCGTCGAGACCCTGGCCTGCCCTGCCCGGCGTGCGGTGTGGCCGCGCGCCACGCGACCATGGCAGTGCGGGGATAATCCCCCAACACTTCAATGACGCCGTGCCCGTGCTGTGCCAGTGCCGTACCGCCGTACCGGAGCCGCCTCCGCAGCCCGCGCCCAGGACTCCACGGCTAGGCTGCTGCACTGCCGCCAGCAGCACTAGGCTCATTCCGGACAGTGCTTCGTCGCCGTCCGCCTGGTGCTTCGAACTTCGCCCCCTTGCGGACCAGCGTAGTGTTCCGGATTGGGTGGGCGGTCAAAACCCGATGACTCCAGAGCGACTCTAGAACTCGGCCGGTGAATGCAGTGCCAGCCGCAGGCACTGCCGACGGGATAGCTTAGGCCCTACGCCAGCCTACTGACAGTGCCTGCGGGCGGCACTGCATTCACCGGCCGAGTTCTAGAGTCGCTCTGGAGTCATCGGGTTTTGACCGCCCACCCAATCCGGAACACTAGACCAGCGCGACGAAGCCGCGGTCCGGAGTCAGCCTTTATCCTCACCGGCCTGGCCCACGCCTTGCTTGGCGTGCTCGGTGCGACGGCTCCATCTCAATCCCGCCTCCAGCGGCACCGGCTCCGGGCTCTGGCCCCCGGCACCGCGACGACGCCTCCGTGTGACGTCAGCGTGGCGCGGACTACAGGTGGAAGGGTGACGTCGCGGCAGGCAGCCAGGCAGGCAGCCAGGCGGCCAGACAGCCAGGCAGCCAAGCGGCCAGGCAGCCAGGCGGGCAGCCAGGCGCCGTGCCAGTGACATAATGGGCGACGTAACCCCCGAGGCCGACCGCTCCGCTCCGCGCATGCGCCGTGCCAGCAGCACCAGCCGCCCCGGGCCTTTGTTTTGATTGGCTGTTTTTTGGTGCATCCAGCATCCCCCATCCAGACATTGTACTTGTCGCTCGGCGTTTCGCAGAACCGGGAAATCGCCGTTCATCCATCCGGCACCAGTCCGACGTCGCGCAGCGAGGAGACGGCCGCCTCGCAGGCCTCGTCATCCACACCGTTAGGTGCCGGGGGCGGCCGGGGGCGGCCGGGGGCGGCCGGGGGCGGCCGGGGGCGGCCGGGGGCGGCCGGGGGCGGCCGGGGGCGGCCGGGGGCGGCCGGGGGCCATCCAGCTTAACAAGGCCTCGGAGTCGCTGTCCGGACGGACCGATGTTGGCCCGCGCACTTTCACGGCACCGCCCGGGGCTGTGCGACGGCAAGTAGTGCCCTGCCCCGACAGTCGCTACGCCACCCCACCTGCCTACGCCCCCTGCACCCCCTCCACCTCGCGCTGCACCGCCTCGTCTCTTGGCCAAAACTCGCCGTGCTGTACTCCATGCCGCACCGGCGTGCTGGCTGATCTCTCTCGCACTCACAGGGCGTTCCGTAAAGGTGCGAGAGAGACACAGACACCGCGTCATCGTTGTGCCGGACGGTGATCTCCGCGCCTCCGCGCTGGCTCGGCTTGGCGGCCGGCCTCCGCTTGGCCGGCCTACTCGGCCCCTCGAATGAAAACGAAAGTCCGCGCTCAATTAGCGCCCCGCGGGTGAAGTCTGCCGATGAATGGGGCCTCGTTGGCCGCCTGGGGGAGGACGAGGGGAGGACGAGGGGAGGACGAGGGGAGGCCCAGGAGGGCGTCACGCGCGTCTCGCGGCCCGCAGCGCCGCCTTCCGGGTCGGGGTGCCGCGGCGCCCCGGTCGGGGTGGACGAGGACGAGGACACTGAGCTCATGTCGAAACGCCATTTCGAGCGAGATTTGGAGCCGTCTTGACAGCGGCCGATGCTGTGTCGGACTGCGGCCCCCCGACGGCTGGCTCCGGCTCGGCTTCGGAGGTGTCACGTTGCCTAACCTGGCCGCGCCTCCTCGGCCCGATCGGTTAATGAGGATCCCGTCAAGCTCCCGGCGCGCGGCTCCGCGGCTCGGCGCCGTCCGGGACGACCCAACGGGGTTTGGAGTGGCTGCTGGCTCTGCTGGCGCTGCAGGCTCCACGCCGCAGTGTGCCTGGCTGGCCGTTGCGTTGCGGCTGGGCCGCGGCGGCGCGGCGTGTTCACTGCGAGGCGCGGGTCAGATGAGATGGTGCACCGCGGCCTGCCGGCTTGCCGCTCGGCTCGCCGGCCCGCCTCGGCGTGGCGCAACGCCGCAGCAACGCCTCGCCGATCCAGGCCCCGCAGTGACCGCTCCACCAGGCTCCACCAGGCTCGGCCGCTCCGCCCCGCGCCGTGTTCCCACCACGCCCCCCGCGACGTGCATGTCCACGTCCGCGACGTAGGTGTTGAAGTCCCCGACAATGCGCTCGCACCTCGCACGCACCGGCCTCTCCCCCGCGGAGGCCCTCGGCGTCTCTGATCGAGTGGAGCGGCCGGCTTTGGTGCGCCCGCGACGCCCGCGTGCGGCACGGCCAGCCAGCCTGTTGCCGCGAGAGGCGGGCAAGACGGCGGCAACAGGAAGAGAAAGAGAAAGAAGAGGAAGACACCACGGAACCCGAAGGCACTGAAGGGCTTTTGCAGGCGGCGGCGTGCACGGCGCGTTACGGTGCTATTTTGTCTGCCGCACTCCACGGCGTGCACGGCGCACGGCCCGGAGACCCCTCGGGAGACCCAGACGCAGGAGAGCGTGAAAGGACCTCTCCGTGTCCCTCCGCAAGACTCCGCCTCCACTGGCTCTGTTCCGACTGCGATCGCTATCTCTCTCCCCGGGCGCCGAGTCACCGAGACACCGAGGCGCCAAGGGGTGGCGTTTATGTAAAGCGGGCACCGGGTCCCGAAGGAGGGCGTGGACTTCCCCGCCCCGCCCAGGCCGAGCCACCGCGCCGCCACGCCTGTGGTAGCTTGCGGCCCGCCGGCAACGAAGAGCAGCTTCCACAAACACAACGCGTTTCGAAGTAAAACTGCGTTCATTGGTGCTACCACCGGCAACACCACCGCTAGGCCGCTAGGCGCTCGGCTCTGCGAGAGGCACTCACCTGGGTATCATGGCGGCAGCGGGGGAGCGCCCGGTCTCTGTAATCCACGGCTCCGAAAGCAGTCCAAAGGTAGGCGTCAAACTGCAGCACACACAACGCGACTCGCCGCGCGGGGACCACGGCGGGGACCACGGGGAGCACGGGGACCACGACGGGAGCTTTCACCGAGTGGCAGTCGCAGTCAGGCCGCGGGGAGGTCGCGGCGACGAGTGAGCGGCAACTGTGGAGCCAGAGCTGGCGGAGCTGGGCGGGTACGGCTGGGGCTTGGGGACGGACTGTGCTGTGCTGCGTGGCTGCGCCCTTCCCGCTGTGGCCGTACCCGGCCCGGCCCGGCCGGGGTGCCTGCAGCCTGCAGCGTGGAGAGGGGGCAGGCCCGCCGCCCCTCCCCCGCGCCCCGCCCCTTGCCGGCCCCTCCCCCCACCGTGTCCCTGGCCACCGGACGGCCTTGCTGGCGTAGGGTAAGTCTAGGGCACCGCCGCGTGCGCCGCGTACGCCCACCCCCACCTCGCCCTCGGCCCCGCGCCCCGCGCCCCGCGCACCGCGGCACCGCATTCGCGGAACCGGCGGACATGGGAGAGGCGTGACAGGCGACAGGGCGACTGGACACACGCCCACAAGACTCTCGGAGACCCTAGATCAGCGACTCGGTTGGACACTGGCGGCGTGTTGATGCCCTTCCATGGCGCGGCCAACGGCGACCTGAAAGCTGAGAGATGCAGTCGTAGAGCCATGCGCAGACGACGCGTCATTGGGGGTAACAGTTCTTTTATGAAACTTTCCACCTACTGCCAGCTAAAAGAAACCAGTGCAAGATAGACTGGGATTCCATACAGCGTGCGTTGCAGGCGAGAGGCGGCAGGAAAAGGGGGGGGGGAGTGGAGGCTGGCGGGGGCGGCAGCAGCGCAGGCGCCGCGACGCCAGACTAAGGCTACTCACCTTCACCTCCTAGATCCGCGATCCCCACACTCCGACAAGGCCTGCATACAGCATAGCGTTACAGTGCTGCGTCTATGGAAGAAACGGGAGGGGGCAGTTGACCCTGCAATCTAATCGCCATCTAATTTCAGATCAAGTTTGGAGACATTTAGAACATAATGCCGGATTTGGTTCAAGATGGAAGTGGGAACTTTTTTTACTGGCGGCTAAGCGCCTGCGAACCTGAGGGTAGGCAGCCAGCTCCACAGGCGTGCTCGACAGGCGTGCTTCGGCCTACCTCCCAGGGGCTAGTCCGCCGCGGAAATCTGGTCGCGCTCCTTGAATCGAGCCGTTTGACGACGGCCCTCAATCGCATTGGCACATCCTTGCTGAAAAATGGCGCGAAGGAACGTATAGAGCCCCAAGCAAAAAATGAGGACCTGTTATACGATGACACTGCACTGTAGAACAGGTTTACAACTCCAGCGGCATTAGAATCTCCTCCTTTGTAAGCCGCTGCTCGAATTTCGGACCGGCTCAATGACCGGATGCTGGCCGTTCGCCGGAGCGCCGCCCTGCCGCGTTGCCGCGAGCTAGCGCCTGGGAGGTAGGCCGCACCGGCCGCGCGCCGGGCACGCCTGTGGAGCTGGTTGCCTACCCCCGAGTTGGCAGGCGCTCGGCGCGCTCGGCCTCGGACTTGGCGGATCGCGGTCGCCTCGCTGGACACCCCCCCCCCTCCCCCAAACACACACACACACTCACACACTTGAGTGCCTGGCCGGCCCCACACCCTTTCAGTGCCCCGGTTGCGTCATGTTTTGATTATGCTCATTGATCGCTCGGAACTCTCCGCGCCGCCGCGGGTCGGGCCGCTAAAGCTACGCGCGGACAATGTTGCTCACGTGCCGTGTTTACGACACCTGGGCGTGTGTGTGTGTGTGTCTGTCTGTGCGTCTGTGTGTCCTGTGTGTCTGTGTGTCGTGTGTGTCTGTGTGTATGCGCACACATTGGTAGTTCAATCAATTAATCTCTCGGCCCGGCCCTTTGACTGGTGTGCGGGTGTGAGCAGGTGACGGCGCACAACGCTCAGTGGGACACTGAGGCCGCACCGGGTGCTGCGGGCCGAGGCGGGGCGTGGCGGGGCGTGGCGGGGCGTGGCGGGGTGGGGAGACAAAGAGGACAAAGGCAGTGTGAAAAGGAAAGCAGCACAGTCCGTACACACTACCGCGTAATTGTTTTATCTGAATGGAATAGGGAAGGTTGGAGGAAAGAGGGGCGCGGTGCAATGCTGGAGCTGTGCCTAGACCAAAACCACCTTATGTCATTTGAGTCATCTGATAATTTGCTATCACCTTGGGGGTGGGGGTGGGGACACATAGCTTTACATATCGGAAGGAACTTTGGCTCTTTTCAATCCCATTCTCTTGGCGTTCAAACGTGCCGAGTCCTTGAGACCCCCTCCCCCCGGAATAACCTTGACCGGGGTCGAAAGAGCACACGCCGTATACCGCGCGATTTTGAGATCACGACAGCGTAGGGGCGTGGCTGAGCGTGGCGCGGTCGTGCGTGGCCGAGCGTTAGGAAACTGCCCACCGCCGTGATGGAGTGACTCGGAGTGACTCCGGTGGCGTCGGGAGGTTTCTTCTCCACCGCCCTCTCGGCGTAGAAGGGGGCGCACTGCGCGGCACAGCGGGGTAATGCCACTCGGCTCTACTCATTAGCGCCGCAACAGTGGCGGCCACAACGATTTCTGCTCGAATTGGGGCTCTCGGGTGGCCGAGCCAAGGCTTAGCCAATTGCCAAGGGCGTCGCCATTTCCGGCCGACATCCGATTTTCTCGATCCGATTCGCTTCTGGGGGATACCGATCCCCTACTGTGGGCAGATCCGGATACAATGTCCGAGTGACTCGCGACTGCAGTGCTAATCCCTCTGATCCTTGAGTTGATTGGTGTGGCCCCCGGGTCGGGCCGCCGTCGCCACCGCCGAGCCCCAGGGTCGATCATGCCGAGCCTGACTGATTCGAGTTCGCGCAGAGCAATGGCGCCGACGCCGCAGTTTTCTGGCTCTGGCCGCCTTGGCTCGCGTCGCGTGGCTGACTGGCGGGCTGGCTGGCGGGCGAGGCGTTTGGGTGCCAAGCAGCACCAAGGTGAAGGGCACGGCCGCAGGGCCCTGATTGCCCGGCTAGAGAAAGGAAGGAGCCGCCCGGGGCACCGCGAGGCCGCGGGGCGGGGCGGCGGGGCCCACACTGTCCACGCGGAGCCCCCCCCCCCTCCCCCCCTCCTTTCCCTCCGGGCTAAGCAACGAGTCTGGATCCCAAATTAGCCGGACAGAACTCGGAGCACGCTTCGAGCTCTATGTTCTTCCAGTCGAAATCGAATCGGGTAAATGATGGTACCAATGGCCTGCCCCTCGAACGAGGCATCGATCAAGTTTGAATCGAGTCGGATCTCAAAACGTCAAAACGTGTCCGCACTGTTAGAAGGGGGTTCGATTTTCGAACCGTTGAAAGGCGGTCCCAATTCTCGCCCGGCTCGAAAATCGGGCTTAAGTAGAATCGAACCCACGTGGGTTCAATTTTCGGACGCGGGGTTCGATTTTCGACCGCTTCGCCGGCTTTCGGCTCTGCGGTCTTTCGTACGGCAGCGCCTGGAGTCAATTAGCAAACTTGACCGAACACACATCACCTTACAGATTTAGATTCGTCTCAAGTAGACAAACCAAAAATGTCAACACATATCATGGGTTAAAATGAAAAATGAAAGAGTTATTCAACTTCTAATGTCTTTTTTACCATTTTTGCACTCTAAAAATCCAATAACTCTTCTATTTTCTATTTTAACCCATAACATGTCTTGACATTTTTTGTTTGTCTTCTCGAGACAAATCTAAATCTGTAAGCAAATGTCTATTTGGTCAAGTTTGATAATTCACTTGTCTCAGCGAAGCTCAATCCCTACAAAGCCGAAAATCGAACACTACCAGAGCCGAAAATCGAACCCTCATCTTGTCAAAATATCGAACCCTGCATGTATCGGCCACCCCGTCCGATTTTCGAACCGAGATGGGTTCGATCCTACTTAAGGCCGTATTTCGAGCCAAGGTGGGTTCGAAAGTCGAACCCTCTTCTAACAGTGCGCTTGATCTGTGGTCACCTGACCCACTGTGGTCACCAGCACCACCATCAGCGAGCAAGTATGGGGAGGGACGATTCTGCACCAACACGAACGTCACATACGCACTGCTTGTCGAAGAGCAGCCGGTCAAGCATGGGTCTTTACACTACTCACAGGTCAGCATCAGCATCCGTCCAGATTAGATACGCATGTCTAACGACATAAAATTCACACTCGAGCTATAGGCCGCCCCAAGCGGCTGTTTTTATTGAAGTCGGTGTAAGAGCAAGGCTCCCATCGTGAATGCTAAGCACCCGAACCAACAAGGCATTTAATGGTTATAGCAGCAAGGTCCGACCAGGGCGCTGTTCATCAAACACAAGTCTCACACACACACACACTCGATGCTGGCGGACGTCCTTAATCAATCAGGACCTTTGACCGCTCACCAGTGATTGACGAAACGGCAAAAAGTCACACATCCTGTGGCGCGGCCGGTCTAGTTCTCCCTTTGCGCGTGGCACGTTCACGCGCTGCAAGCTGCTGTGCTCGGTCTCTCTCGCACTCACGGGGCGTCCCGGCCCCCCCAAAGGGGTGCGAGAGAGACAGAGCGACAAAGCAGCGTTCGGAATCAGGCGGCTGGGACAGGGTCAGCGTATGGCCGACCAGTGCGTCCACCTGGCCGCGTGGCCCGTGGTCCGACCCGGCTCGGGCGAGACCGATCTACTTTCTGTCCTTGAAAGGACTTACACCGTCGCCAGACTGCCAGGCCGGACCGCCGCCGCCGCGTCGCTGAGCTATGATGGAACGACCTGCGCCTCGCGGGGCGCGCGGGCCGAGTGCCCCACCACGGGCCTTCCTTGCCACGGCGCCGAAAACAAGTCAACAAATTTAAGAAATATGTTGAAAACGGGTTCGATATGCGAAAAATAATTCTTTGAAGAGAAGTTATACAGAAAATGTGTTGAGGTGTGGGTTGGCGGGGGTTGGCTGTTGTCGCGTGCGAATAGTCAGCGACAACACGACGGCAACGGTCGCACCAAAACGAGTCGACAGCCCCAAGCAAGCGGAGCACCGGGAACGGGTAGATGCTTTGACGCGCGATACCCGCGCGGCAGCGCAGCGCAGCGCTGCCCTCGGCTTTGAAAACGCTCTGTTCGCGGGCCCGCCCCGCCCCGCCCCGCCCCGCCCCGCCCCGCCCCGCCCCGCCCCGCCCCGCCCCGCCCCGCCCCGCCCCGCCCCGCCCCGCCCCGCCCCGCCC